CCCCCCCCCCCCCGGTGGGGCTGCTCTCAGCCTTTGTCTGCTCCTTTGTTCTTTTAGTCCAGTACCTCTCCCTGCCAGTTGCTGGACAACACACACACAGTGTTGGACACACATGTGTATATGTGTGTCTTACACCTTTTGAATTATTTCCCGCTCTGCATGCATATTCATAGCACATCCTTCAGGAGAAAGTGTTCGTTGATTCTGGGTCTTTAGGGTCATCTGCCCGTCTCCTCCTTTTCTAGTGATGCTCGGGTGAAAGCATGTTGACAGATTCCTTCACTCTGCTCCCAGTTCTAACCCAGTGGGTGGTGTACGCCATCCGAAACCTCACGGAAGACAACAGCCAAAACCAAGACCTGATTGCGAAGATGGAGGAGCAGGGTCTGGCAGACGCATCCCTGCTTAAGAAAATGGGGTTTGAAGTTGAAAAGAGGGGTGACAAGCTGATTCTGAAGTCGACTAATGATACACCTCAGCTGGTAAGTATGCCAGGAGGAGGACTAGTTCCCCTTCAGTCTGTGGGAAGTGGTCCCCACTTCCCTATAACCTTCAAAGTGACATGATTCCTTCATAAGTACATGGGTAGATGTAGTTTGCCTCCTGAGATGGCAAAGAAAGCCCTACATTTAATTGCAAATAACTTTTTGTTCATGCTTTACCTTGCCGTTTTCTTAAGAGAGTTGAAATTTCAAACTTGTTTTAGGGGAAAAAAGAAAAGGCATATCAAAATTTTCATGTGTTCTAAAAATTTCTGGCAGTAATTAGACCTTCTTTAAAAGATAGCTAATGTTGACTGCAATGAAAAGAACAGAAAACTCCTTGTATGATATTGAATGGGTTGTTTCAGGTTTCTTTCCGTTATTTCTATCATTGACCAAAATGCTCTTGTATTTTTTTTCCTTTGATGGTTCTTGTAAATAGCTCTGTTACATCTGCAATTTTGTTCCTTTTTATTTATTTTTTTCCCTCTTAGTGAATGAACTCTCCATCCAAAAATATCTGAATGTTTGGAATCTGTTTCCTGGATCTTTCGCAGTATGTGAAATCGCAAGTGTTTGAAGATTTTATTACGTACACGTTCAAGAATCTGTGAATCTTCTAGATAATAGAGTTAAATGCGTATAAGCTTAAAAGTGAAAGTGCTTGAGTGTCCTGTTGATTCTTTGCTTTAAAAATGTAGCTGTCTGGTTTGCTTCTGTCCCCGTGGAATACAATGTGCGTTTAAGTGATAGATTGTACTTACTGTGGCTGCAGATAATAAATTCCTCTTGCTGAGCGCATGTCCCTTCTTTGGCAAAGACTTGGAGGTTTGCTCAGGTCCACTCGCTCCCTCCCTTCTTTGTCTCCTCTTGTGGCGTTTTCTGGGCTCTGGCAGGCAGCTGAAGTAGTTTCTCACTGTGATTAATTCTAGCAATCGCTTTTCACCCCTTCTGCCTTTCCAAAACATTGACAAGACTCATTTCCAGTTAATTAATTCGAGAGATGGCGAAGAATAGAGGGCTCTCGCTCTTCACTTCAGGTCCTGGGCGCTGTTGTCACTGAGCCCTGTCCCTCTGGAATGTGCGGGAGCCAGCGAGTGAGGGGACATGTGGGCCATTAACTCTTCCCATTCCAGATCACCCTGGACCTAGGCGTCCCCAGGCCCCCGAGGCTTACCAGCCAGTGCCTGCGTCAGGCACTGCCCTGGCTGTAAGCGGGAAGGAAGATCTCACGGTTGTCTGTGTGTGCAGAACCTCAGCATTAAAGGTTCATCCGGGGCTTCCTCAGTTTAAAAAGCATGGGTCTCGGGAAGGCACCGCTCAGCTTTGGCCGGGGCAATGGAACTGCACAAGTAGCTTGGGGGAACGGGCATCTTGACCCGTGTGTGTCGGTGTGCACACACTCAGAGGTAGCTCTGGATCGAACGAGCACTGCAGTCTTTGTAACCACCCAGCTCACTAATGTAATCAGCAAGTGCTCGGGGCGGGTCACCTTGTGGATGCTTAACATGTGTTGTCTTCTGGAACAGCTGTGTTACTGAGCTGAACCATCACGTGAAACCTTGCATGGTTCCTGTTGAACCTTCTGAAATGAAAATGGCTAAGACCCAACCAGAAGTTTTCCAGAAATACTGATTGTTCCAAAGTAAAGTGCTCCTAAGTTTTTGTAGCTGTGCTTAAATTGCTTTGTAGGGAAAAAAAAAAACCAGCTAAAGCATGTTAAGAATGAAATAAAAGTTTTCCCACGTGTAGTCTAATGTCTACTATATAACTGAGGAAATGCCAGCTTCTGCGACTGCAGTCATCTATGAATAACGTTTACTTCTGTCCTTTGTGACATTCCGTTGGTAAAGAATCCTTTGCAAAATCCAGAATGCACGAACCAGCCCTTCTCTTCGGGACACAAGGAGTTAAACCCCTCGTCTCTAACTAGAAGTCTGGCCAAAGGGGAAAGCAGTGGGGGTCCCTTTTCCTTCTAACAAGTCTGCAATAGACACTTCTTTTTTTTCCTGTCTGAATGGATGTGTGCACACCAGTGGCATCACACAAACATGTCGGTATAAGCCATGCAATAACAAACACACATACATCACAGGGAGCCTTGTGAGAATACAGAATGGGATGCGGACTGTGTGTTTTCTAAATAGGAAATGCAGGGCTTGCATAGTGAAAACATGCTGATGGCTGCATTGTGGCCGCGTTTGATGCCTCCCGACACACTAATTCCTGAACACAACAGCCTCCCTGTCCTCTGCCAGGGACTTGGAGCTTCTGAGAGCCTTGTTTTACACGCTACAGAGGATTAAAGCACCACCTCAATCAGTCATTTAGAAGGAGAGGAAAAAAAAAAAAAAAGGCAGCCCAGCCTTACAGAATTTGTAAAGAGAGCGGTCCCAGCAAGTTTTGTGACTGTATTGCTTTCAAGAGCAGACTGACAAAGCAGTTCAGTTTTGTAGCCTGGTCTGTTCTAAGAGATAGCGGAGGAAGGCCTTTCTGCTCAGCGTCAAATCCGAGCATTTACAGCGTGATGTCTTTTAATACTTTAACAATGGATGTTAGTTTTTCAGAAGTACTTGTTTTCACAATTTTAGTCATAAACTATTAGAATTTGTCTTTATGTCGATTCTATTAATACACCTCATAGGTTTGACTCTTTTGGGAGCTGATACCGGATGCATTTTTGTTCGGTAATTTCTGAAACTGACCAGAATGCCTTGGAAGCTGCCGAAGGAAGCCCGTTTGAGGAATGATCGAGGTCATGTGGGCTATTAGTAAATCTCAAATCAGAAATTGAGATTTTTACATGTGTATATCTTGTGTCCATTAGCTTCTGAAGGCATTGATCTGCAGCTGTCACAGTGACAGCTGGCATCTAAATCTTAAATTTTTTGTGCTCTTGATCTGTATTATTTATATGAATAATGATAAATATGCATGGATAAACCAAGGTTTGGGGACAAAAATGCTTTGTTTGCAAGAAGACCTAAATATATATTTATATAAAATGCTGTCAGTAAGTTCTGCACAGAAAGGAATCAGTCTGTGTCTGAGAGGCAGTAAGATAAGACAGAATTTTTAAATGCAGGGAAGGGAGGGAAATACCTTAACATTTAAGAGAAAAGGTCCTTTCAGTGCTGTCCAAGGTTCTGATAATTTCAGCTATAGTGGCCTGAATATGGAAAAATCAGTTAAAAACCTTTTAAAAAAGAAATTTAGATTTTTTTCTCCCCTTGTATTTATATGATGGAATATCTTATTTTCTTCTTCCCTACGTATTTTAATATGTTTTTTGGATTTTTCATATTTAGATGGCATTTTACAAAATAAACATGATTTACCATCTATAATATATATGAATTTTAAAGGTAAGCTTTTTCTGTAGATGCAGTGCTTACAATTTGTTCATGTCTTCCCTCATCACAACCAAAAACAATTATGTCGAAGAAATGACTTTCTGAAGGCTTTGATAGTTGTTTATTTCTGCTTAAATTGAAACCTTAAATTAGAAAATTAAGTAAAATGTTTCTTTGTTTAAGCAACATAGTATGCATTGCTCATTTGCATATAAAGTTGCGTTACACTTTTCCTTCAGTTAAGCAGGCCCTTGCATGGTGTTTTACAGCCTGGATAAGTTTTTACCACCACCGTGTGCAGTGTGGTGGTCACGAGCATAAACTCGGAATGGGTGCTGGAGTCCAGGCCCCCTCTTTAACCTGCGAGACTATGGGCAGATACTCTCATCACAAAAATGGGGCTTGTAACACGTGCGGCCTCTCCGAGTGTGTAAGGATGAGCGTGAATGTGTGTGGAAGCGCTTAGGACAGTGGCTTATGTGTGGGAAACACTCGTGCTACCGTTGCCATTTTTAAGCCTCTGACACCGTCATTGTGAGCGTGTCTGAGGGCATGTGTGGAAACTGTCTTGTCTTCTGCTCCTCCTCTCAGCCCACCAGAGTGCTGGGTATACAGTAGGTGCTCACTAAGTGTATTTTGTTTCTTTTGTGGATTCTTGTAAGGTGCTTTCCATGTACCAGGCAATGTTCTAAGCACTTCAAAAATATTAACCACTAATCCTCACAGCAGTTAGGCAGTCTGTTCAGTATTAATCCCATTACATGGATGAGGAAGTTGAGTTACAGAGGTTAATGCCTGGGGTCACACAGCAGTAGATGCTTAATGAATAATTGCTGTGGTTAATTAGCAGGGAGTGAATGAGGGGAAAAATACTGCTTCTTTCCCCAGAAGCAGAGAAAATAAATGCAGCAGAGATGCCTGAATTGTGGCTCTCTATACAGAGCCCCAGCGTGTCTTCGCTCAGTCGTGTCCGACTTTTTGTGACCCCATGGACTGTAGCCTCTGAGGCGCCTCTGTCCATGGGATTTTCCAAGCAAGAGTACTGGAATGGCTTGCCATTTTCTTCTCCAGGGGATCTTCCCAACCCAGGGATCGAAGCCGGGTCTCCTGCAATGCAGGCAGAGGCTTTACCCTCTAAGCCACCAGGGAAGCTGTATGGGGAGAGCATGATTAGAAAAACCCAAACTCACATCTCAGCTCCACCTCCTGTCAGCTCTGTGGCTTTGCTCAGGCTGCGTGACCACTCTGAGCCCGTTTCCTTCTTGAGCAGCATACCAGGCAGGTCCTCGGATACAGCACTAAACAGGACACAGTCCATGGTCCCCTGAAGCTGACATTCTGATGAGAAGGAGCAGATAGCAACAAGAGCATCACATACTCTAGTCCGTGCGGTGAAGAAAACAAGGTGAGAATGTAGTTTAGTTCTGACTTCAGGTGAGCAAGGAGGGAGCAGCAGGAGAGAACTCACCTCTTGTGCATCTTGGACGATGCTTCCCTCTCCTTGAGTAAACTCAGGGGTAGTAGTTGTGAGCAGCCCACGGGCGGGACAGCGTTTCCAGGGCAGTCAGGTCGTTTTCTTCCCCCCCCCTTCCCTCCCTCCCTCACTCTCTCCCCCAGCTGGGCCTCAGCTGTCCCTTGCCGTCAGCCAACTGTCTCGAGACTACTTGTGGATGTTCTTGCCCTGATCTGCACGATGGACGGAGCCATCCTGTGGTCAGCATGCAGTGATCTCTCCTCTCAGTGAATGGTAAAAATAGTAGAGGAGAGTAAACATTTGATGACTATACTTGCAGAGTTTTCCTGTTTTTGATTTATAGAACAATACGCCCAACAACTGCAGAGTACGTGTTCTTTTAAAGTCCCCGTGGACTCACTCACCAAAAATTGGTCCTTCTGCTGTGCCCTAAGACAGGTCTGAATGAATTTCTAAGGATTGAAACCATACACACAGTATGTTCTGACCCTAGTACAATTAAGCTACATATCAATACCAGAAAGGTAAGTGGAAAATTCCTTCGGTTTTGTAAATTAAGTAATGTGTTTTTCAAATACCTAAGGGTCAAATGAAGAAATAGAGATTAGGAGATATTTTTAACTGGATGTTAATGAAAATGCTACATGTCAAAGCTTGCAGGCTGCAGGACCTTCCCTGGCCGGTCCAGTGGCTAAGACGCTGTACTTCTAAGGCAGGGGGCATGGGTTTGAGCCCTGGTCAGGGAACTAAGATCCCACGATGTCACATGGTGCTGCCACACACACACAAAAAAAATCGTGGGCTGCAGCTAAAGCTATTTTTAGATGGAGATTTATTACCATAAGTGCTTCTCTAAGAAAAGACAGAAAACCAATAAGCTAAGCATTATCTTAAATAGGAAAAACCACAGTTGAAGGATAATAAAGGAATAAATATGAGAGCAGAAAATAAACTGGAAGCAACCACAATAGTAATAAAAAAACAGAAAATAAGAAACATACAAAAAAGATAAAGCCAAAAAATTGGTTCCTTGAAAAATACATTAAATTGAGAAATTTGTGGTAAGACCAGTAAAGAAGACACCTAGAAAATCATTATCCTTATAGATCTTGTGGATGTTAAAAGTCCTTAAGAGAATACTGTGAATATTTTATGTTAGTGAATTTGAACTTTTAAGATGACATGGACAAATTCCTTAAAAAAAAAAGAAAATCCTAGTTTTAATATTGACTCTTTAGTACTTCCACAGAGAAGACTCCAGGCTCAGTGTCAGCAACAGATTCTACCAACATTTAAGAAATACTGCCAACCACACACAAAATTCCAGAAAAGGGGGCAGTTTCACAAATTTTTGTAAGGCCAGCATGATCCTGATGTTAGTCTCATGCCTGAACATAGATCCATCCAAACGTCCTGAACACGTTACTAACAAACCATATTCTAGGGATGCAATGATTGGGATCACTTTTTTTTGAAGTAATAAACTGAATTAACAAATTAAGACAATCACATTTCATGCAGAAAAAAATTCACAAATTCAACATCCAACAGATTTAAAACACCTTAGCATGTTAGGGACAGGAGGTCAGTTGCTTGGTCATGTCCGACTCTGGGACCAAAGGAACGTAACACACCAGGCCTCCCTGTCCTTCACCATCTCCCAGAGCTTGCTCAAACCCATGTCCACTGAGTCAGTGATGCCATCCAACCATCTCATCCCCTGTCACCCCCTTCTCCTCCTGCCTTCAGTCTTTCCCAGCATCAGGGTCTTTTTCAATGAGTCAGCTCTTTGCATCAGGTGGCCAAAGTATTGGAGCTCCAGGATCAGTCCTAATGAATATTCAGGGTTGATTTCCTTTAGGATTGACTGGTTTGATCTTGGAGTCCAAGGGACTCTCAAGAGTCTTCTCCAGTACCACAGTTG